TTCTCTTGAGTAAATACCTAGGAATGGAATAGCTAGGTCGTAGGATAGGTATATGTTTGCTTTTATTACCAGAACTTTTCCCATAGTGGTTGTACCATTGTCCATTCCCATCAGCAATACATACTTTCTGGATGCACCACGTCTTGGATAACATTTGGTGTTGTCAGTCCATTTAATTTTAGCCATTCTGGTGAGTGTGTATGGCATCTTTTTTCTTCTTTTTTTTTTTTTCATCTGAGATGTAATTTATTATATGTATAGTAAATTTTACCCGTTTTAGTGTATAGTTCTGTAAGTTCATATAATTGTGTAAGCTCCACAACAATCAAGATACACAGTAGTTACATCACCAAAAAAACTTCCCTCGTATTCCTTTGTACTCAGTCCTCTTAATTCCAGGCGCTAGCAAGTCTGATCTCTGTTATTGCTGTAGTTTTTATTTTTTTCATTTGTATGCAGTGTACACTCTTTGGTGTTTGGGCCTATGAGTTTTGATAAATGCATAGTCATGCATCCCACCACGATCAAGATACAGAACAGGTGCATTAGTCCAAAAATTACCCTTTAAAGTCAACCCTCCTTCTACCCACCCACTTGCTCTCTGTCCCTGTAGCCTTTTTTGGCCTGGTTTTTTCACTTAGCAAAATACTTTGGAAATTTACCCATGTGGAGTATATCAATAGCTGTTCCTTTGTATTTCTGGGTAGTAGTTCATCATATTGGATGTACCACAGTTTATTCATTTACCAGTGGAAGGAGGACATTTGGGTGATTCCTGCTGTTGCCATTTATGAATAATGTTGTTAGAAACATTTCCATACAGGTTTTTGTATGAATGTAAGCTGTCGGTTCACTTGGATAAAACCTACGAGTGGGATTGCTGGTTCGTATTGTAAGGGTATGTTTAACTTTATAAGAGCCTGCCCAACTGTCTTCCCATGTTGCTGTATCATTTTGCATTCCCACCAGCAATGTGTGGAAGAGTGCTCGTTTGTTCCTCATCCTTGTCAGCATTTGGTATTGTCAGGTTTTTTTTTACCCATTCTAGTAGGTATATAGTGGTACCTCATGGTTTTTATTTGCAATACCTTCCTGACTAATGATGACGAACATCTTTTTATGTGCTTATTTACTATTTATATATCTTTGTTGGCTTGTCTGTTCATATTTGTTGCCTATTTTCCTATTTGGTTGTTTGTCTTATTAAATTTAGTAATTCTTTGCCTGTTCTTGGATATCAGTTATTTGATAGATATATGTATACTGAGTATTTTCTCATTCCGTGGCTTGTCTTTTGATTTCTTAATGGTTCTTTTCAAAGAGCTGTTCTTTATTTTGATTAAGTCCAGTATATTAACCATTATATGGTTCAGGCTCTTTGTGTATTATCTAAGAAATCTTTGTTTACCCCCCAAGATCATGAAGACTTTCTCCTGTATATTTAGAAGCTTTACTATTATAGCTTTTACATTAGGTCTCTGATCCATTTCGAGTTAATTTTTTTTCACATGGATAGCGTAATTGTTCCAGTGCCATCTGTTGAGAGACTATCCTTCCCCTATGGAATTGCCTTGATATCTTTGTTGAAAACCAATTGACAGTATATGTATGGGTCTGTTTCTGGATGCTGTTCTGTTCCACTGATTTATTATATCTGCCTTTTCACCAATCCTACACTGTCTTTATTGCTGTAACTTTATTGTAAGTCTTGAAATAAAGTAGTATAAGTTTGCTGTTTGGGAAATAGCTTTGGCTTTTTTAGGTCACTTGTATTACTATATATATATATATACATATATACATATATGCATATATATATACATATATACATACATATGTATAGTAGAATCGCCTTGTCAATTTTAATAAAACATTCTGCTAGAATTTTGATTGTTTGGCTTGTAGCAGTACTTTATTCCTTTCTATGTCTGGATAACATTCCACTGCATGGATATATACCACATTTTGTTCATTCATCTGTTGTTGGACATAGGGGTTTTCATTTTTTGGGTATGAATAGTGCTGCTATGAACGTTCATGCATAAGTGTTTGAGTGTCTGTTTTCAATACCTTTGGATAAATACCTAGGAGTAGAAATGCTGTGTTGTATGGTAATTCTGTTTAACTTTTGAAGAATTACCAAATTGTTTTACGTAGTTGTACCATTTTACATTCCCACCAGCAATCAATGTAGGAGTGTTCGTTCCAATTTCTCCACTTGGCTGCCAAAACTTGTTATTTTCTGCTCTTTTAATTATATCCATCCTAGAGGGTGTGAAGTGGTATCTCATTGTGGTTTTGAACTACATTTCTTCTTTTTTAGTTTTTATTGGGGAACAGCCATGGTCATTGGTTACACATTGCTTTCATGCTACAATGGCATAGTTGACTCTTTTTGAAAAGGCGCAGCTCACAGTGGCCCATGCGGGGATCGAACCGGCAGCCTTGGTGTTATCAGCACCATGCTCTAACCAACTGAGCCAACTGGTCACCTGAATTACATTTCTTTAATGACAAATTATATTGAGCATTTTTTTGTGTTCTGGTTGAGCATTTGTATATCTTCTTTGGGAGAAATGTCTTTTCAAGTCCTTTGCCCATTTTGAAACTGGGTTTTGATGTTGTTCACTCGTGAGAGTTAGTTATGAGTCCGGATACTAGACCCTTATCAGATATATAATTTGCACTATTCCCCCCCCCCGCCATTCTGTAGGTTGTTTCATTTTCATTTTAGGGATTTTTTTATTGGGGAATTGAGGAAGGGAACTTTGTAATTTTCCAGGATCTATCAGCTCCAAGTCAAGTTGTTTTCCTTCAACCTTAGTTGTGGAGGGCGCAGCTCAGCTCCAAGTCCAGTTGCCGCTTTCAATCTAGTTGTGGGGGGCGCAGCCCACCATCCCATGCAGTAGTTGAACTGGCAACCTTGTTGTTAAGAGCACGCGCTCTCACAGCTGAGCCATCTGGCCACCTGTTGGCAGCTCAGTGGCAGCTCAGCTTAGGCGCAGCTCACTGGCCCATGTGGGAATTGAACCAGTGACCTTGTTGCTCAGAGCTCGCGCTCTAACCAACTGAGCCACCTGGCTGGCTCTGTTGAATTTTCTTAATGTCCTTTGGTGCAAAATAGTTTTTAATTTTTATGTAGTCGAGTTTATCATATTTTTTTCTTCTGTTGTTTGTGGTTTTGCTGCCATATCTAAGAATTCATCCCCAAATCCAAGGTCATGAAGATTAACCCCTATATTTTCTTAAAGTTTTACAGTTTTAGCTCTTATATTTAGATTGTTAATTTTTTGTTTATGGTGTGAGGTGGGGGTCCAGTTTTGTTCTTTAGCATGTGGATATACAGTTGTCCCACCACCATTTGTTGAAGAGGCAGTTTTCCCATCGCATAATGGCACCCTATTGAAAATCAGTTGGTCATAGGTGTATGGGTTTATCTTTGGGTTCTCAGTTCTATTCCTTTGGTCTATGTCTATCTCAAGGCAGTACCATGCAAGTTGATAGTTTCCACCTATAGGACATGTTAGTATAGTATATTAATTTTTTGTTTTGATTACGTTTCAGAAATTTTTGAAAACTTCGGGTAAGTTCTTTAAAGAAATTGTCTCTGAATGTCCTATTTATAATATCACATACATGCAAACTTAATGGATAATTTTATTTACAACTTTTTGATATGTTTCACTATTTCTCTGGCTGCACACAGTGGTTTTAGATACGCAGTATATCAAGTTGTATACTAAATTGAATTTTCACTGTGAGTTAAACTTTCCTTGAGCCTTTAAATGAAGAACTAGTTACATCAATAAATTTAATCTGCCAAAAGATGTTGGTGCTGCCTATAGAAGTACCAGGATAGGAACGATCTGCACATTTGTGTAACATCGGGAAGAAATCCCATATCAGTTTCTAGAGAAAATTGACTATAAACACTGCTTTTATTCATCATGGTTTTGGACTTTAATCACTATAATAAAAATGTCAGTAGTTTAGAATCAGAATATGCTATGCCTCTGAAGTGTTTTTAATGCATAACTTCTCTCTCTTATTTTTCCCTGTAGTAATTTGTTTGCTGGCGAAACAGGGCTCTTTTGTCCTGGTATTGCCCACAGTTTGGCTTTTGCTTATTGAATCCCTCTGGTTCAATTTTTTTATTGACTTCCTCTGTGTTCTTTATTTCTTATTCATTGATAGTTGGACATAGATCTAGAGACTTGATCAGATTCAGATAAAAACATTTTTTGTTACAGTATGTTCACTTCTTTGCTAATGTTTGTGTTTTCCATTTTGAGGCACATAATCCCTGCTTATCTCTTCATGATGTTAACTAACTTTATTTTGATTCATTTTAATTTTAACAATTCAAAGGGTTTTAGAGAGACAGGATGCTGTAGAGATTAAGATGTAAGTTTGAGAGTCCAAGAACCTGGTTCATGTTTTGATCCATTACCTACTAGTTGTCTGATCTTGGAAAATCACTTCCCCTTCTCAGTGTTAAGCTTCTTATCTGAAATGGGGGAGATGAGGCCTACTCATAGGGTCATTTCGTGGAAAGTGCGTGGAAAAGACTCACACAGAGCCTAGCATACAGTAAGTAAGTGGCCAATAAAGTTTAGCTACTGGTTTGTGAATTTAAAAATATTCTAAAACAGCGTGAAAGGTCATGCATCTCGATTTATAAGTGAGGAAATTAAAGTTTGGGTGGTAGTTTTTTTGCTCATTTGGGTTTGTTTAGGGAAAAAGGTAAGTGAATTATTCAACTGAGGTGAATAGCTTTCTTTTGTCCTTGTCAACTTGAACAGCTGCACTTAGTAACCACTCATAATAAGCTTAATTTCAAAAGTAATTTTTGCCCGTGCTTTGCATGTTCCCGTTTACACATTAAGCGGCCCCCATCTAATGTTGGAAAATAGGCCTGTTGTTGAACAAATCATATCATAGCACATTTTATGCTTGAAGTCCATTGAGAAATACTTGCTGTTAATGTTTTTGTTTTACAGTGTAATGTTCAAGCTCAGAAATGCCTTATGTGGATCGTCAGAATCGCATTTGTGGTTTTCTAGACATTGAAGAAAATGAAAATAGTGGGAAATTTCTTCGAAGGTACTTCATACTGGATACCAGAGAAGATAGTTTTGTATGGTACATGGATAATCCTCAGGTTTGTGAAATTCAAAGGGTTGCCTATCTTTAAAAGCATATAAGAATTTTAATTATTAAAGTATTTGACATACTATACTGATGTTAGGATTGGTCTTTCTAAACAGTACATATTTAGATTTATTTCTACTGGCTGCACTCTTCCATCCCTGCATCCCCAACTCCTGTCTTACTTGCATTTCAGAAGATGAAACTAGGTTTATTTGATAAAAATTTATGCATCATATATGTTTTTCCTCCCTTGGGAGAGAAACACTGTCTCTGGTAGAAAGTTTTAAAATCGTTTAGATTTAAGGTACTGTCTCTAGGATATAGACTACTATCTTTTGGTAAATAAGCTACTTAAACTAGTTGACACTCTTCATGTATGTAGGCCTTCCATCTTATAATGTCAAACTTGAGTGTCAGCCATTGTAATGCCATTCATGAATTGAAATTCACTTTGATTTTATTGTTCCCTTGTAAATCATTGGGCGTAATGCCACAAATTAAAAATTAGAATCCTAATATTAAGATCTGTGAGAGACCTTGCATTAGAGATCATCTGTGGAGAAGTTTTAAATTTTCTTTACCTGTGAAACTCTATTCGGAATGAGATGTATGTTGCAAGGGAATAGGTGCAGAGCACGCGATGAGTCCCTCGCAGAAATTGAGGCTGACCTGGGTTAGGGGGCGCTTGTGCTCTGAGGAGCCTAAATGTGAGGGCAAGAGCGGGCAGGAGTGACTGGTCGGAGGTTGCATTCTGTGTCACATCAGGGACTAGATCCCCCACAAATGGGCTAGTATTCTTCACCACCCTTTACTGATTTTAGATTAGATAAAATACATACATGCAAATGCATTTCTCTGTGTGTGTGTGTGTATGTGTATACATAAAAGATTTTATTGGGGAATTGGGGGAGGGCCACAGACAAGTTGCTGTCCTTTTGTTCTTCAGTCTAGTTGTGGAGGATGTCGCTTCACTGGCCCATGTTGGTATTATCATTGCGCTCTTCCTGGGTGAGGCAGTCACTCACCGGCCATTGGACAGCCGCTCACAGCAGCTCACGAAAGCTCATGCCAGCTGCCAGCCACTCACGGTAGCTTTACAGCAGCCCACTGCAGCTCCACTGCAGCCCAGCTCCAGGTCGAGCTGTTGTTCACCATCTTAGCTGTAGAGGGCACAGCATCATTGGCCCTCATGTGGGATCTGAACCCGGGGCCCTGCTGCTCAGAGCTGGCGTCCCAAGCCAACTCCTAACCGCGCCACTCAGCCGGCCCGCAAATGCATTTATATTTGATTATATAGGATTCGAGTTGTAAGGGACCTTGGCATTAATTCATCCTCCTTAAATGCAAGAACGCATTTATCCCTGATCTTTACCTTAGGTGTTGTTTGAACTACACATTACTAAAAAGTATGTATTATACTTGAGACAGCTTTAATTATTATTCTGTGAGCCATACCTAGTTCCTTGTATCTTCTACCCATTAATTCCCCTTTTGCCCTCTGATTCTATAAAGTAAGTTTAGACCTTTGCCCACATGCAGCCTCTCAACTTTTGGAGGATAATTCGTATTTTAATTTGGTGTATATTATCTGAGTGCTGACTTCATATGAGTTTGGTTTTTTTTTTTGCCAGGAACTGTCTTTTCTCTATTCCTTCTCCTTAAGAGTTTTCTGACACCCTGTTTTACTCCCTTATCTCTGGGTGTAACCAGCTTTCTTGGGTGTTAGTAACCTGGCTGCACTCATACATGATTACCTGTATTTACTTGACCGGAGTCAGCGAGAGAAGCAATAGTTTAGCAGAAATCAGAAGTTTATTTTTACTCTTTTTTTTTTGAGAACATAAATGAAATTCCTCCCTTTTATGACCTCATCTCTATCTGGTGCAGTCCCCTCCCAAACTCCTTTTCCCAAGGTAGAAAGGAACCTGGTTCCCCTTGCCTCCCTCTGATTGCTGTTGACTAAATTCCAGTTTCTGGTTCTCCTCACCGATGCAAGCCCCTACGCAGTTCCGCCAGGCTTCTCTGCCTCGTTTGTCTCTTCACAAGACCTGCTTGACTTACATATATATGGCTTCTCTTGAATTTTATTTAGAACTCCTTGATTGTTTTCCTGTCCTCATATATAGTAGATTCCCCTTCTCAGAATTCCTGTCTTCATCAGTATTCCCCACTTAAACAGAGCTAAAAGTCAGTAAGTACAAAATAGAAAATGTTTATGACACGGAAGGAAACATAAACCTGGAATTCAGAGGAAGTCTGTGATTATAGCGAGCAGAGCGAGTTAACATCTTTGTGGAGGTGGCACCATTTGAAACTGGCCTAGCAGTATGGGTATGACTCTGGCTAAGAGCTGGAGAAGTGGGCTTTCCTTCCAGTGCTCAAAGAACAGCACGGGCAAAGGAGTCAAAGCAAGACGCCTGTACCCGTCCCGAGAATAGTTCAGTTTGGCTGTAGCCGGGAGCACGCATCTTAAAGCTGGCACTCAGCTAGCTCTTTTTCACACAGACTCTTTCGAAGCCAGATTTCTATGCAGTAATTAGCGCATTGGTTTTTCTGTATGTAGTGCAGAATTTTAAGTGTTTTTTAATTCAGTTCTTAATAATTTTATCTCGTCATTCTAACTGATGAGACTCTTTTACAATCTTGATTCTGCCAACCATTGTATTAGCCATCAATACCAGCTTTGTGTCTCTTTTAAATGTTTTAATCAAGACATATCTCTTTCATGAAAACTTAAGAGTGAGATATTAAATTGAACCATGTGAAATTGCCAATGTACCACCACTTTCATGTACTAAAAAATGGCAGTTTCATATGATGCATTCTGTTTGCTTATGTTATGGTACTGTAACATGTTATACTGATCATAATAATCCTGATAATGAAAGAAAATTAGTTTTGCTCACCTATTTTTATGAAGACATTTTTTCTTTCTTTTTTTTTTGTTTTTTAACCACTAACCATTGGTTTAAAAATCCATTCTAGTGTATTACTAGGGATCAACTTTGGACTTTCTGTGTTTTGTTGAGGGCGTGGGTAATGGTGGAGAATTAAATAATTGAGTAACTGTGTTAGGAAGTGTATTTGAAAAAACTTGAAAGAGTCTTTTGGCAGAAAGAGTGCAGGAACTCGTAAGAACAAATTGCTTAATTTCCCTTTTTATCTTAAATGTCATATTAGTTTATTATTTCTTGTTCATTGTCAAGTAACACATTTTAAAACCCACATTTTTCTAGTTGAACTTGGCAGCTAAATCATACCGGACCATAGGAAGTAGGTATTTTGAATATCCTTTCTTTCCCAGCTACTTAAATATTTCCCTGTACTGTGTCACTGTTTAATCTGTGACCCTTTATGTCATGCAGCCATGACATAGTTTCTCATTTCTCTTCCTCACACAAAGGCTTAGAGCTATATTCATCCAGTTAAAATAATAGATTTATGGAAGACTTAAAAATAACAATTTTGAATGGAAGGGTAGCCGTGTTTGAAAAAAATCACTTTGGTAGTAGTTAGGAGGTCTTGAAGACATCATATCATTTCATTTCCTTATCCAAAATTAAAAAACAAAAACTCCTCTAGATGGAAAACATTTTGTATAGGAACACAACCATTTAAAATTACATATTAAAAGATTATAATTTTATATCCCTATTTTAAATATTTAAAATAGGGATATAAAATTATAATCTTTTATATCCATTAAAAGATTATATGGATAACCTTTAAATTTATGTATGAATCCGGAAAAAAATAATAAAGGTAGGACCGATCGAAGATTTCACAAGTAAAATTAAAACAATCTTGATTTTGAAAGTTTCCTCTGCTAAAGATGAAGCAAGATTTTAATTGACTTTATAATAATGTACATTTAAAAAAACATACTGGGCTTGCTTTCATGAATTAGGAAGTGCCTTTCTCTGATCTCTGTAAGCTTACTTATGGATATAAATATTTATGGATATAAATATGGGAAGCTTGTACAGCATATAAAGTTTAGAGCAGAACATAATGCAGTTTTTCTTCACATAGGAGTGAAAATTTTGAAATTACCTGTCCCCGGCAACAATAACAAACTCATGTTTGGGAATGTTAAGTCTTTGAAAGGCCTAGGCTTCTATATAGTTAACGGTTTCCAGTAAGCGTATAGAGATCAGAGAAAGGCACTTCCTAATTCATGAAAGCAAGCTCAGTATATTTTTTTAAATGTACATTATTATAAAGTCAATTAAAATCTTGCTTCATCTTTAGCAGAGGAAACTTTCAAAATCAAGATTGTTTTAATTTTACTTGTGAAATCTTCGATCGGTCCTACCTTTATTATTTTTTTCCAGATTCTTTTTATCTGCTTTCTCTACCTCCATCTTCCCCCTCTAATCCATCTGATTTATTGTATTACAAGTTATATTAATTAAAACACAGCTTTGATTGCAGAACTGCTCACAAGCCTTCTTTAATGGTTTCAAATTCTTCACAGTATAAGTTCATTGCTACTTTGCTTTTTTAAATTAGGTTCTATAATTAGGTTCTTAATTCAAGTTCCCAAACCACTGTGGTTTTTTTTTAAAGATTTTTATTGGGGAATTGGGATGGGAACAGAGCTGGGGAATTGGGGGAAGGGGAACAGACAAGTTGCTGTCATTTTGTTCTTCAGTCTAGTTGTGGAGGACGTTGCTTCACTGGCCAAAGTTGGCACCATCATTGCGCTCTTCCCGAGCTTCTGGACGGCCGCTCAGGGCGGCTGCTGGCTGCTCACGCTGGCCGCTCACGCTGGCCGCTCACGCTGGCTGCTGGCTACACACGGTAGCCCATGGCAACTCACTGCAGCAGGGGCTGTAGCCTATGCCGTCGCCGGCGACTCACGGCAGCCCAGCTCCAGGTTGAGCTGTTGTTCAGCATCTTAGCTGTGTAGGGCAGTGTCACTGGCCCTCATATGTAGGATCTGAACCGGGGCCCTCTGACGTCCCAAGCCAGCTCTTAACCAACGCGCCACTTGGCCGCGCCCCCAAACCACCATTTTTTACTACAGCCCTGTATGACCCTGTATTTCAGTCCAGCATAGCCACTCTTCCATTCCAGTACAGAGCTTTTGGGCATCCTCATCTGCTTGCTGTAGCTGGTCTGTTTTCTGTGCCTGGAATATTCTCTGTTCTGCTCTTGGTGTTTCAGAGTTTGCCCTTAAGGCTGTTCATTCTTCCACCGAGTTTTTCCTGATAGCCTTAGCCAGAAATGATTCCCCCTCTTCTTAATACTTTCTCCTTAGCTCTTTTAAGACACAAACCACATTCCAAACTTGGGAAGAATAAAAATATTTTGCATGAAAGTGTCAATATATACATTCCCTGGTATGGTTTAAAGAGTATCATTTAACGGTTTTTTTTGAAACCTGGTATCAATATAAAGTATGGTGTAATAAATCCAAATATATTTAAATAGGGGAAAATCCAAAAACAATTAATTTTTTTTAATAGAACAGAAGTTAATACATATAGTCTTGAAATTTCTTACAATTGTATTTGTTTTATGTTTCTAAATGTTTTTTCCCATTGCTTTCAGGACCAAAATCTGATCATGTTTATGGCTTTTTAAGCTCATGATACAGAAAACAAGTTTAGTTATAATGATAAAAATGGCCTTTTAGTCACTAGCATATTAAGGTGGAACAAAACAGTTCAATTTTGTTATCTACACTGTCAGATTGATTTCAGACCTAGGAAATACTTGACCTGAAAAAGTTGATTTGTAAAATGTGATATTAAAAAAATCTAATTTATTAACTTTTTAATATGTGTACATTAGAAAATGAATCCATAATGGTGGATATTAATTATGTATTAATCATTTGTTTCCAGAACCTACCTTCTGGATCATCACGTGTTGGAGCCATTAAACTTACCTACATTTCAAAGGTAATCTTACTGTATTGAATTCCATTTATGCTTGAATTAAAATCCCTTAGACTGGGTCGCACCGCCATCTTCCAGTAATTCATCAAAGTGACCAACACAAAGGGAAATGAAAGAGGCCCCCGCTGTATGTTCCATGGGCCTTTTAGAACGCGTGGAGTTGTTCCTGTGGCCACATACATGGGGATCTACTAGAAAGGTGGTATTGTAGACATCAGGGAATGGGCACTATTCAAAAAGGAATGCCCCCAAATGTTACCACAGCAAAACTGGAATGGTCTACAGGGTCTCCCAGCATGCAGCTGCCATTGTTGTAAACAAGTTAAAGGCAAGATTCTTGCCAAGAGAATTAATGTACGTATTAAGCATATTAAGTACTCTAAGAGCCAAGATAGCTTCCTAAACGGGTGAAGGAAAATGATCAGAAAAAGAAGGAAGCCAAAGAGAAGGGTACCTGGGCTCAGCTGAAGCACCAGCCTGCCCCACCCAGAGCAGCACAGTCCGTGAGAACCATGGGAAGGAGCCTGAGCTGCTGGAACCCAGTCCTTATGAATTCATGGCAGATAAGTGTAAAAAAATAAAAGACCTCTGTACTGTTAAATATAATAATACTAATAAAATCCTTTAGAATGGGAGTGTGAATAAAAGGAGTGATTTCCCTTCCATGTCATTTAATGACGATGCTCATGTTCATATCATGCTGAACACAGTACCTGATGACTATGTTTAGGATATTGTTTGATAAAATTTGAAAGAACCTGGAGTTAACTTATAGGATGTGGCTCATTGCAAAAGTTAACATTAACTTTTATGATCCGGTATCTGAACATCAGAAGGGGAGAAATCGGTTAACAATTAGGCTCTATCTTTGGGAACTCTGGAGATTTCCCTGAGTCTGTATTACATTTATTTAAACTTTTTTGTTTTTAATTTCATTACCGTTGACTTTTTGTTTCTTTGTGTTCTATTTTGAGGAAAATATGAACCATCTTCATGATGGAAGAATGATTTTTTTCCTCATTTCACTTTGTCTACTAATTTCTGTTGTTGATTTTTCTGGCATTTTTACAATACCTTTTCAAAAATTTAGATTTAGTTTTTAATACTTATTCATGTTTTGGCATCTGAAATACAGATGCTTAGGAGATAGCTCTGTTAGCTTTTTGTGTTTTATACAAAGTGATACATTTGTTGATGACTTAAGGTATGAGATGTGAAAAGTAGCAACATAACATGATTAAATAATATGCATACTATGTTGCATATATTGGGATTTGTTAGCAAAGATCTTCAACAGAAGACCAATTTGCAAGAGTTGCTTCTGTTTAAAAAATATTTTCATAAATACTTTATCAGTATAACAAAAGAGCCATTCATTCTCATTGACAAAACAAAACTAGCCCTTGAACAATAAAGATTACATATTTAAAGGAAAACATTATGTTAAGGCCATATTATGGAAATTTATGTCAAATATTGTTTAACTTTACCTCAAGTGCTCCTGTAAATTAAAACATTTAATAAATGCTTCAGGGTAGCTTTCAGTTTAACTTCTATAGAGACTATTATTAGCAAGCATAGAATTCCATAGAAAATAAGCGCTAGATCTTCAGTTTGCCTGGTTGCCTGCAGTATATGTGTGCTGTAGCGTAAATATGCTGCCAGCATTCCTGGCTCTCAGTGAGTGATGTGGAAAGGCCTTTTTGACTGGAATAGGCAGTTGAGGGAAAGATTGCCCATCTGCTTGTATCTTTTCAGTTACTGTTGCCTGGTCTTTTTAAAAATGGGAGCCCTTTTTAAAAATAAACTATTAGCTAAGCAAGCAGGCTGACTGGCCAGCTGCTTTTCCTTTCTCCATTGCTTCCCTTTGAAAATATATCCTCTGTGTAGTTTTGTTAACTTTCATCTCTGCCCCACAGCTTACGGAAGTTTGAATTGTACAGTGTGTACTCTACTTTAGACATGCCACTTTTTTCCCCAGAATTTATTCCTGGAACAAATTTCAGTGTGACTCAGAGCTGTGAATTTATAGTTGCGATCAGTCAGGAACCCCAGACTTAAGGTTCCTTTTGAAGGTGCAAAACAGATGCTACAACTGTAGGTCCTAACACTGGGCAGCAGCATCGCAGTAGGCGTGAATGGGCTTCGAGAGAGCTCCTTTACTTAAAGAGATAGCAGCTACTGGGTGCCGTTGGTTGCTTCACCTTCTAAAAGGAACCATGTGCATCATTTAGCAAAGTGACCCCATTACCCCTGGGTGTTCTAATGTATAAGAGGGGATCCAGTGCCATTTTGATTTCCTGATTGCAGATTAACGCCTTCTGGATTTTTGGGCTTTTAAGAATACAATCTCCTCCTTGCCCACCAGTGTTTTCTCTTATATTTCACAGCTAATTTAGAAATCTACAATTTGGGAAGAATTCATAGTTTCCGTAGGGTATTCGTTGAGGGTATTTTGAACATTATGTTAAACTAAAAATATATATGTGTGACATAAAACTGAATCATTTGCTTTCAATTTTTTCACATTTCCTTTGAAGAAAAAAACAAGTTTGTTCAAAGAGAACATTTGTTTTAAACATCTTAACAGTTGGGAACCTATATCCTATATTTAATTTGCATTTCTTTTTCAGTTGCCTTTACAATTTAATTTTATATGTATGTGCCTAATGTGTATGAATATTGGGAAATTCTCCACATAGAAGTTTATACAACATTTAAGGCTGGTTTTGTTAGGCTATGAAGAAGTGACTGACTTATCTCTCTCTCTCTCTGTCTCTCATTAGGTTAGCGATGCAACTAAGCTAAGGCCAAAGGCTGAGTTCTGTTTTGGTAAGTATCCATATTTTACATGTTAGTTATTTTAAGTTAGACTGATATAATTATACCATATTGTAAAAGAAAGCAGTCACTGAAAACTACACAACTGAAACCTGATGGCTAATGAATTATTTTCAGGCAAACTCCCTTGATACCACCATCTCAGTGAAGAAGTAAAACTGTTCCCTTACCCTAAAGCCTTTTCGGGTTCCATCCCAGTCACAGCCTCCTCCCTTGGCCCACAGGTGGTCATTGTCTAGGACTTCATAGTCGTCACCTCCAGTGAGATCTCAGGTCGTTTTTAACTTTCTGCCTTGTTTTATTCTATATTAAATACATAAATAATGGGAAGGATTTGGTTTTCAGGTTGTGGGTAATGAGAAGTTTACAGTTTGGGGTAATTGAGGGTGTCTGAGTAACTTGTTCTTCAGACATTTAGTGAATGTCTAATATACGTTCGATGTGCTTGGCGCTCGGGCTATGAGAGTAATAGGATGCAGTCGCTGCTCTTAAGACCCTCACAGGCTGGTTGTCTCACAGACAGATACAGTACCAGGTAATTAGTGCATTTATTACAGTCAGTAGATAAAGGAGTGGACAGTCTATTAAAAAGCACAAAGGAAGAGCTTTAAATCCTCATTGGGGATCTTGGGAGTCAGGGCGTCACACTGAATGAGGAAGCCCTGGAGTTGGTGACCAGGTGACCCTGATCATCCGAAACCACTGGGAAGCAAAGGTGGGAGGACCTCATGGGCGGACGCAGGGGAGGAGAGTGTGGTGAGCATGGGGAACTGAGGGCTGGCCAGAGACTAGGAAGCAGGCAGGCAGGCAGAAGGCAGGGTAATGTGGTGACAGGAGATTTTTTTTTTAAACGAGGTGAGAAATTAACATCTAGAAAGTAGACATAAAGAGAAGGAAGACTTTTGCTTGTGTGGTTAAGAGAGTTTTAATGCAGGTAGATTAGTTAATTGGCTTCGAAACTACTACCCTTACATAAGGGCCTGAGTTAGGGTGGTGGCAGTGGCGAAAAAGGAAGGATGAAAAACATTAGAAGGAAAAGTGCAGGGACTTGGTGACAGCATGTGTGGGAGTTGAAGGAAGAGAGAGGTGTCAGGTAGGCTTGCTTCAAGTAAAGAAATGAGGAATGAAGGAGAACGGGTTAGGTAGGGTAAATGTTTGGTAAGGAGTTTGAAATGGTGGGAAAAAACCAAGTGGAATGTTCTGGTGACTGTGATTGAGGACTGGATGGAGCTTGAAGATGAAGAATGGAGAAATTTGGAATCTTAAAATAGTGGGTGATTGCTGAAGCTGGGAGAGGTGATATGCTTCCCCAAGAGAATGTTTGTCGACATTAGCGATGGAAGGCCAAAAATTAGGATTAGCCAGCTGACATCTAAAGGGATGATTTTACATTAAAGTTAAGATACTCCTTGGGGTAGAGTTGATATTAAAGTTCTTTTTTCTCTTTTGCTTGAGAAGGGCAGGTTTGTTCTGTAGGCATTACATTAGGGAGAGCATCTGATGGCAATGGTGCATCTCCAGTAAGAAAGCGGGGCATGGGCAGGGTGTGATAAGAGTGTTCAGAGAACCTCTGCATTGCTTTTATCACCACTAAGAAACTAAAACCAAAAAAAGCTATGTATCTATTACAAATGTATAATTTTGGTTACTAAATTGGAAAATATCTCTGAGCCCTGTGAATGAAAGGCTGCTGCGGGCAAGTCGAGTAACAGAACTTTGTATTTTAGAATTTGTAATACACACACCCTTGACAAAGCCTTTTTAATGTAAAACCTCAAACTTACAGCGTGAAGGAATAGGAATATGTAGTAATAGATGAGACACTCAATTATTGGGGTATTTATAATGGGTGATTTTAGTCAGAACCAAAGATTCACATTAGTTTTTTATTGGTGCCAATAGTGTATTAGTCCTCTGCTACTGGAGGGTATGGAGAAAGGATTCATAAACACTACCTTCAGAGGGAGGAACCACAGCGTCCATTCAGAATGGCCACACAGAGACTTTTCCACCTGTATTTCCTCCCAACTGCTCAAAAACAATGAGAACAAGAAAAAAAAAACCATCTTCGATGAAACTAGCAGATATCTACAATCCACAGTGTAGAAAGATGGAAAGTGGGTGGAGGAACGGTAAACAACTCAGCAGAATAGCAGAGACCAGTGAAAAGCCAGCCCTTTCAGCCCTTCGCACACTCCAGCTCTAGGTAGACTTGGGTACTGGATACTGTCAAGGGAGGCAACGGTGAGGAGGCGCCGAAACAAGGGACTTTGTTTGAACATCTAATGTATGTAAGAAACAGACTCTAGTCTCTGCCTCCATCTGGCTCAGTCAGGCAGCTACCCTTCCCCCAGCCCATCAAGAGATGGTATGTGTATCGGGAGATGGTATGTGTAGGGCTCCAGAAATAGAATCAGTGAGGCTCTGTGCTTGGGGACACTAGTCCTAGAGAAGGGGACAGAGGAGGCATGAAACTGGAAATAGGATTAAATGAAAGTCTGCACACTGAATGCAACCTTTTCCTGTGTCCATCCCCAGAGCATTGGGCAGCCAGGTGTAGGTGGAATAAGCATCTGAATACCCTAGAGAAGGGAGCCATGGGTACGGACATCTAGGCATTTCTTCTGGAAGAGCTTTTTGTACAGCAGAGTCCACCAGTCAACAACCCTACATACATTCAAGAGAGCTTCCAGTCAGTATTATGGTACCTTGTTTTTAAATATGGATAGCCCAGGATTATATGACATTTGAGGAGTGAGAACTATCAAATAGAAAAAGAAATGAGACAATGCAAAACTCGGGAAAAAAGTAAAAAAAATCTACAAGTAGAAAAAGGCAAAGATAGATAATAGAGAAATAAGAAAATTAGAAGTTTCGTTAATAAAGTCCAAAGTCTGACTGAGGAGAGGATAGAGAAAGAATAGAGAAAATTGACAAGTAACATGATAAAATACCTCATAATGACCCCAGTTTGTGAGATGATTATTGTTTGCAGTCAAGCTAGTCTCTGTGCTTCAAGTTTTATCCATTTGATCTATCTACTCCGATGGGAAAGATTTGAAATGAAATAAAGAAGCGCTCAAGAAAAAGGTAGTAAGAACACAAACCTTTGGGGTGTATTCATTACACACGATGAAACCCTTGCTTTAAAAGCATGACAACTTCCAGGTTTCATACGGTTTAATTTTGTTTTGTTTTTTTAAATCAAAGTTTTATTTCCTCCTTTCCTTGTTCCCTCCCCAAACATGGCTTATGTGCTACTTTTCATTAATTTGCTTTACGTTTTTCATGATGCTTTCTTACTTGGAAATCTCCAGATGATGATAAAGAAGAGTATGTATTTCGTCCCAAGCACTATACTAGTTTCTTCATATATGTCACCTCCACCCCTCAAGGTGGGCATTCGTGGCATTCCACCTCAAAACGGGGCTCAGAGAGGTTAAATAGTTTTTATAAGATGATATTGCTAATTAAGTGCATGAGCTAGTCAGGTCTGACTGACTCCAGGCTCTGCGTTTTTAACACCATCATAACACTATGCCTTTTCCTGTCATGAAATAATACTTAAAGCACATGAATTTTTATTCAGATTGTGAGGTGTGCTAAGAGTCTTTTAGAGGTATATTAGCTTTTCTTTCTTACCTTAGAGGTCCTTATGTAAATGCTATTCATTCAAAACTGTATGTGTTAAGCACTTACTTTTAGCAGGTGTAGTGTGTTACTAAGTGCTTAGAGTTTCACACTTGAGGTGCTTCAGGCAGATGCCCAAAACAGTTAATTTTGAGAGGAAGAAGCCAGTATGAGAGCTCAGCTTCAGCCTAAACTGGGGAAAGATTATGAAAGGATGCTTTACTGACTGTTAGAAATTAAAAACATAAGCTAAATATTGACATTGTCCTAGTGAATTACTAATTTATCTTAATTTATATTTATGGCATTTATAATTTCTCCAGTTTCTAATAAGAATGAAAGGAACTCATTTACAGTGTTTTAAATTTTTTTAGTTTCTAGACTAGTTTTGTAGCATTTCACAAGAAATGATTTCTTTCTAAGATCCTCATCTCAATTCAAGGACGCTCTTGTTTAGTGCCTTGGTCTCAGTTCCAATTTCAAAATCTTGTGCATTTGAGAAATAACTTCTTCTTCCTTGAGGACTTTGATTCCCCCCTTCCGTTAGTCATATTCAACTGAGTGCTAGTATACCATTTAAAATTGTGGTGGAGACTTTTGGAAATTATTCTTATATTTCAAAAATTGCAGCAGTGTAGCTATTCAGATGCCTTAGCTCCTAGAATAAATAATGTTTATGTTTTAAGAAGTAAATGCATATGATATATAATTAATAAGCTTTAATATAAGAGTTGACTATGGTAGTTTGTAGACAACTGTGTATGCAGAGGTGGGTTTTGCTTTATGCAAGTAGGTAGTCACAAAGGGGCATATATAAATTTAATTGCATAAAAGTTCCAAATGTATTAAGATTAAATAAAGAAAAAATACAGGTGTTTATTTTTATAATCTTGAGTTGGGAGATTTTCTAAATACGAAAGTGAGAGTCATTAAAGGAAAAGATTGATAGAATATTTCTGTTTGATAAAAGATACCATGAACAAAGTGAAAAGACAAATGACAAACTAGAAAAAGTACTTGAAATAAAACAGAAAGGATTAATATAAAAGCTCTTATAAAACAATAAAGAAATAAATGGGGCTGGCCGAGTGGCGCGTTGGTTAAGAGCTGGCTTGGGATGCCAGTTCTGAGCAGCAGGGCCCTGGTTTGGATCCCACATGAGGGCCAGTGATGCTGCGCCCTCTACAGCTAAGATGGTGAACAACAGCT